GCACAGGAGTTAAATCTACTATAATTGCAGAAAGTCTTAAAATGCTGCTAGATATAACTGTCCACTAGTAACTCCTCAACAGAAGCTAAATCAAAAATAGATTAGCAGACTGTCAAAAAGAGATCATCAAGATAATTCACAGCACCATCACATTTAACAAAAATTACATTTTCTGAATGGTAACTTTCTAGATTGCATGATTTACTCTTCAAGTAAACTGAATCATTTATAAATTATAGAAGATATATAAACTGGTACAGCATAAGAAAGTGACTCATTTTCTCAAAATACTGAAGAAGAAAAGTCTACCTGTCACTGGATCAGTGTTATTTAAACGTATAGGAATTATTCTGACTGAAAAATTTACCTAGTCCCTTTTGAAAGACCCTACAAAAAGCCTACAATAAATGTATTTGAACTTGATCATTGTTTAGTTTCATTAACATTTTCCCAATGAACAATATTTTTTCATACAAATACTCCGGAGAGACTGAGCATCAATGTTTAAATATTTATTTTTCCTCAAGATCACATATGTATAGCCCAAGTTTTTTTTGAGGGGGGGGGAAGGAATTCTGCCATTTGTTGTTGTTTTTTGTACCTGATTCATTTCTTTTTTTAAATTTTGTACTTCAATAATGTTTGTTCAAGTCTTATTCTACTATGTCTATGTTTTTTCTCTAAAATAAAAAATATTGGGTTTTTTATAAAAGGCAAATAATACTACAAGAACAGTAATTAAGATAAAAATAAGGGAACCTCAAGTTTTTAGTATATCATGGGTGAACTTATACTGTAAAACATGTAAAAAACAAGAAAAAAGTCAAGAAAACAATTGTTCCATTAGTGGAAGAAAGTGGCGAGAAGGTGACAAGCAACTGGGAGAAAAGAGAACTACTTAACTCGTTTTTTGCATCCGTCTTTACACAAAGGGAAAAAACAGTCCAACCTATCAAAAACAGTACCGTAAAAAACAGATTAGAAACACAAATTAAAATAGGCGAGAAAAAGGTAAGTGAGCACCTGTCCACCCTAGATGAGATTCAAATCACAAGGACTAGATGGATTACCCCCCCCCCAAGGTTCTGAAAGAAGTGGCAGATGTGTTCTCAGAACGATTGAACTATATCTTTCAATGATCCTGGAGCACTGGGGAACTACCAGAGGACTGGAAAAGAGCTGATGTAGTTTCCATCTTCAAAAAAAGGAAAAAAAATAGATCCAGGAAATTACAGACTTATTAGCCTGACCTTAATAACTGGGAAGATCCTGGAAAAGATAATCAAGCAACAAATCAGTGAATATCAGTGGTGGCGAACCTATGGCACGGGTGCCAGAGGCAGCACTTGGAGCCCTCTTTGTGGGTACACGTGCTGTTGCCCCAGCCTTGCCTCCCCCCGCAACCTCCTCTTCACCAGCAGCCCCCCTGGAGGAGAGCCAAGGACATGGCAGCCAGGCAGTGTAGACAAGACTCTGCCCTCACACCTCATTATGCACAGTTGATGCTGCAGGGCGCGGGCAGAGGGCGTGGTTCGCCATTACTGCTTTATATCTTTCTTAGAGCTGTCCCACTGGCATCTAAATGACCATTTTTGGAAATCTGATGGACCTCCTAAGCCAGGGATGTCAAACTGCCAGCCCATGGGCCGGACGTATCATCTGGAAGCCACGCCCACCTCATTGTCAGCAATGGCAAAATCATCCCGATATGTTGCGTGATGTCACGTGACATTGCAAGTTTGACATGTCTGGTATAGGGTTTCCTGCTTAAACAGGGAGCTGGACTAGACAACCTCCAAGGTCCCTTCCAACTCTGTTATTCTGTTCTATTCTGTATAGAGTTACCATCAAACACCCAAACCTATTGAGGGTTGCATTCACTTAGAGCAGTATTTCTCAATCTCTGCATCTTATTGTTATATTCAAGTCTCATAAATCTTGAAGTCCACATATCATAAAGTTACTAGGGTTGAGAAACACTGTCTTACAAGAAGACCTGAAGGGAGGAGCAGAGGTAAAAACAAAAATAAACTTTCTGCTGCAACCTTTCCTCTCCAGGCTCCCTCCTAACTTACTTTTCTTACTAGAAAGATTTTGAAGTAACCTCTTATTGAGGGTTTTTTTTTAATTATATCAACAATCACATGTTCCTTTTAGGACAGAAGTTCCCATCCCTTGTCCTAAGCAAAGTCAGTCACAGTTAATGGGATATGCTTTTTTTTTTTTTTTTGCAAGATAGACAGAAGAAGGGGTTTTCCCCTAGTTACAATATTTCCCTGCACAAAATCCATTGAAAAGAATAGATGCACCATAGAAAACAGTCATAAATCTAGAACATACAGAGAAACAAAGACGTGACATTCTTTATACTCAGAATGTTAAAGAGTAAAAACTCCAATATTTTCAAATTGATAACTGAATAACAAGTGTTACAGGAAATTCAGCATTTCCCATGAGGCAGAAAATCCATTTCTCTACTAAATTTATTTCCCATCCAATGGAAAAACAAAATCAGAGCACTTTATTCAACCCCAGAAATCAAAAGAAGAAGCAGGCTTTTCAAAACTTATTTATTTTTCTTTTCTTATTAAAACAAGAAAGTCTTTAGTCCTTTAAAGACAATTTTCCTGTTTTAACTTTTCATGATCAGATGAAATACATTTGAATCTTCTATGGCATGGATCTTTATTTTTCCTTGTATCTTTTTAAAAAAATTCAGCTTCTGTTACCAAAGGATCACTTTGAAAAGCATGTTAGTGGGACACAATATTAAATGAAATATACAATTATGCATATATTTTCCAGAAAACAAGTATTTTTATTATGGAAGTCTCCTGCTAACTATAACATCTGGATGAAACAACTTGGCTTTTAAAATTTGCAGTTGGGATCAAGAGAGGAAGTGCAGGCCAATATACCCTAGTCCTCGACTCACAACCACAACTGAGCCCAAAATTTCCATTGCTGAGCAAGATAGTTGTTAACTGAGTTTTGTTCCATTTTACTACCTTTCTTGTCCCAGATGTTAAATGAATCACTGAAGTTAAGTTAGTAACACGGTTGTTAAATGAATTTGGCTTCCCCATTGACTTTGCTTGTCAGAAGCTCGCAAAAGGTGATCAGATGGACCCGGGACCCCGCAACCGACATAAACAAATGCCAGTTGCCAAGCATCTGAATTTTGATCATGTGACTAGGGGAATGTTGCAATGGTCTTAACTGTGAAGAACAGTCATAAGTCACTTTTTTCAGTGCTGTTGTGACTTCAAATGCTCACTAAACTAATGATTGTAAGTCAAGTTGATTTGCAGAGATACTTCAGTCAAAGAAATACTGTACCAGAACCAAGAGGGACCTGGCTATAAGAATGGTTGTAGTTCAGATAAAAGTCATGAATATATCCAGATCAAAAAAAAAAACAAACCACCCACAATTCATGGGACCCAAATTCCAAAAGTGGAGGTATAAGGGAGACTGAAATTATTGTCTACAGTAGACAGCTTTCGGACACCGCCCTATCAAAATCTTGGAAATCAATGCCTCCCAGACCTTTTTAGTGCTTTCCCTTCCCTTCCATCCCTCTTTTCTGACCTGACTCCTGGGCCCAACAAGCAACCCAGACCTGCCTTTGCTTATTCTTGCTTGTTTATATTCTACTATCTTTTAAATATATTTTGGTTTGAAATTGTGAGCCACCTAGAATCAGCTTGGAGGCAGGCTATACCTAAATCTAAAAACAATAACCAATTCTGACCTAGGCCTCAGAGGAAGAGCTCGGGTCATGATCAACTACAGGATTGTGAAATACAACCTATTAATTTTGATACATTGTTCCAACTCCTCTATGGAAGATAATGCTTTAATATTATGGCAACAACACCACTTTCTTTCTTCTATATTAGTGCAACATTTCTAAAACACCGCCTCTATAGTACCTTGGGATGTTCTATCCATTTGTCTGTTTTACAGGACAGGGAGTATATTACCAGGTATCTTCCTTTTATTTTCTAAGACTGCCTTTGGATGCTAATGTGGAGAGCCTTGAGGTATACCTGAAAATTAAAATGCTGGTTGAAGTGTTTTGCTTTGAAGAACATCAGCTTCTCCTTTTTTTTTTTTAATGAAACGTACCTTTAAAAATAATTGATGTTAAATAGGGCAGGAATCTGGCAGGTGCCAAAGAAAATATCTGTGCGCTCTAATTGTTATCTCCAGACTTAGGGAAACATCTATGTATGTGTCTTACATTCTTGTGGCCAAAAAGATTTGTCTCTTCCCATTATTTAGCAGCCACTGTTCAAAGACATGATGTCTCAGTTCCTGCAAATACTACCTGGTCATTATGAAGTAGAACCTCATGAATTTGTCCACTGCCATATTCTGAGGTTGCAAATTCCATCCTGGTATCATTCAGTAATTACCTGTCTATTCCTTGCATGATCAACTTGTGCCACTAAAACATAAGGTGTTTTTTTGTGTGTGTTGCACTTCACAATCTCACAAAGCCCTGGCTCCTTCCTTATATCTTCCTTGATGTCTTCTCTTGCATTAGTGCTATTATCAGGAATAATCTGTTGGCTTTACGCTAGAGATGGCATGTGACGTGTACTGTGAGAACATGTGGCAAAATATATTTTGCTGATTTCACCTTTAATTTGCATCAGTGTGTGTCTAATCTAAATACCCATTTAGCACAATCAGTAATTTACCAAATGTAGGCTAGCACAAAATACCAGTATTTTCATATGATCAGATATACGAGCAGAGATAAAAATCATAATCATGTGAAAAGATACATGCCCACAATGAGAAAAAAATCTACTGGAGAATGTAATATCAATACTTAGGTAGGGGGAAATTTCTTTACAAATTCTCAAACCTTGACAAAATGCCATTACTACTCTCACCCACATAATTATGAATTATTCCTGTAGTATCGCTTAGCTTCCAGAAAAGACTCAGTTCTATTCCTGTTTAGGTGGAGATGCTACAAGTCATACCTGGCCATAGTTCTGTGTTAAGGTATTGTCTGGTGAAGGTTTGCTGTGAGGCTCTCCTTCCCGTTGGCTGCAGTCCAACTGAATGAGTCTTCTGCATTCCTGATGGCAGGTGTATTTGCAGTCTGGGAAGAAGAATGAAATGAACTGTAATTAATAAAATATGGAATAAACAGTAAAGCCCAGGTTTTTTCCCCAGTTTGTGCATTTTGCAGCACTAAAGATACAGCAAAAGGTATAAATTAGTCTGAGAGATGGCGAATAATTAAATCCAGTGGTGGGATTCAGCCAGTTCGCACCAGTTCAGCAGAACTGATAGCTAATTTTTTTGTTGCTTAGGCCCAGAACAGACTTCCAGAAGCAGCATCCACACAGAGAACCGGTTGTTCACATATTTGAATCCCACCACTGATTAAATCCACAGGTTAAGCAATCAGGTTTTCAGAAATAAAAAATGAAAAAGCAACAATGAACTGATGTCATTCATAAAAGTATAAACACTAAGACATAATTAAAAAGAAAAAAATTAGTCTTTCTTTCTAAGGTTTGGTCAGCCACAGCTTCCATACTTTTATTATATTTAGGAATCACACTATTTCCAATCCATATAAACAAACAGTCCCCTGAAAAATAGCTCCCCAAAGCAATGTGTTGTAGCTTCCTAAACAATTGCATTATCATAGGCTTCGTTTTACACAAACAGCAGATGAAATCTGAAATCTGTGCCTAGACTGTATAATTGCATACTAAAGGTGAGGGAACTGCATGGCTGATATTTTTTCCAGCAAGAAAAAAAATAACATGTGAGACTACAGTTTAGTCTCACTACATGGAAGAGATTTTGTATAAACAATCAAAGATGAAGACCATATCTGCAGCCTAAACTGGTTCAGTCCAGAAAATACCTTTACGTTATCTATTATTTACTAGAAACAGATCACAGATCTCTCTAGTGAAACCTGGAAATCAAACAATGTGGAACAGCAAATGTTTAAGGAGTGGGGGAATAATTTAGTCATAGCACCTAAAAGAACCTGATGGAATAAGATTTAATAAAGTAGAGTCCACTTATTCTCATAAATGAATAATCCATAATATAAACATTTTATGCCAAAATCAATATTTATGCCATAAGATTCTCTGCTGAACATGGGAAGCACTCTACTTAAGGCCAACGTCTTTATATCTTAGATCAATGTTTTAATTGTGATGGGAGAAAAACCTCTTAAGTTTTCTTTTCTACATAATGCTAAGTACTTCAGCCATACGAGTTTGGCTTACCATTCAAATAGAAACTAGTATGGTTTGTGCTGTTGTAATAACAACACATACAAAAGGTACTATATATGTTTTGGACTACAATTGGTGGATTCTCCAGTCATCAGTATCAAGAAGTATGGATTATGGCAGTTTGATGCCCCAAATATCTGATGAACGTCAGGTTGCCTAACCAATGGTAGTAAACTGATCTAATGTGTGCTTACTTACTGAAGCTAATCCACTTTCACAATTAATAAAGCAATTCTTGTCCTGAGAATATAAGAATGCAGGTGCTGCTATCTTTATATCTTTCTTAGAGCTGTCTCACTGGCATCTAAATGACCATTTTTGGAATCTGATGGACCTCCTCAGCCAGTGGTGACGAACCTATGGCACGCGTGTCAGAGGCGGCACTCAGAGCCCTCTCTGTGGGCACGCATGCCATTGACCCAGCCCCACCTCCCCCAGTGGTCCCCTCACCAGCAGCCCCCCAGAAGAGAATCGCCCCCAAGCATGGCCCACGCAGACCAGCACAGCCAAGGACATGGCAGCTGGGGATAAGACTCTGCCCTTGCGCCCCGTTATGTGCAGATGATGCTGCAGGGCGCGAGTAGAGGGTGTGGCTGCTTTGGTGCTGCTGGGCTGTCTGGGTGATATGTGGCAGGCTGTGGAAGCGGTGAGTGGCCCTGCGGGCAGGTGAGGATGGTTTTTGGGCACTCAGTCTCTAAAAGGTTTGCCACCACTGTCCTAAGCCATTAGTTCAATCCAACATAACATTGTTTACATTGGTTTGGCTTGAGCAAGCTCTCAGGTGAAGTGGCCATGAGTAAAATAAGGGACCATTTATCACAAGGTTTATAGAAATTTCATCTTTAGATTAATCATTAATAGACAGCCCAACACTTTCTTTAAAACCATGACAGGAGCTGTGCCTAACATGTTTCCCACAGTAGAAATCCTGGCATAATACAGCTATACTGCCCAATGTGAGATAATGTTAATGGGCTCAGCTGCCTTGCTAATATTATAGAAATGAAATGTTATTCTTATTATACTAAGAGGCTGCTATTAGAGGACTGAATGTCTTGTCAACTACAGCATTTGAGATCCAATGTTAAGAGAGGAGAGAGAGTAAAGAAATCAATTATACCAAAAAGCATTGTAATTAAAAATGAAAATGTAAAAGGTAGCTGGGCACAGTGTATGGATGCCATTAAACCAAGCCTCCAGGGGAATAGCAATTCCTCTCATACACAAGTGATAACTTAGGGGGAAAGAAAAGAGGCAATTCTTAATATTTCTAATTCGTAATAAGTTAAACCTATCTTTATTTGGTTCATAATCACATATAAATGAGTTACATAAAACATTACTGTAGGAATTATTTAGGAATATTAAGAAGTCAAGATAAGATAACCTTTGTCTAGTTTAATGAAGAGAAGGACAAGGGGGGATATGATAGCAGTGTTCCAATATCTCAGGGGCTATCACAAAGAAGAGGGAATCAAGCTATTCTCCAAGGCACCTGAAGGCAGGACAAGAATTAATGGATGGAAACTGATCAAGGAGAGAAGCAACTTAGAACTAAGGAGAAACTTCTTGACAGTTAGAACAATTAACCAATGGAACAATCTGTCTCCAGAAGTGGTGAATGCTCCAACACTGGAAGTTTTTAAGAAGAGACTGGACAGCCATTTGTCCAAAATGGTGAAGGGTTCTTGCCTGAGCAAGGGGTTGGACTCGATGACCTCCAAGGTCCCTTCCAACTTTATTATTATTATGGATCATTGCACAGTCAGCCAGATGTTCAGACTGGATTTGGCATTTTGTCTACCTATCGAGTCCTTACCCAGGACCTGGGATAGGCAGATGTGGATGTTTGATGGTATTACAGTATCGTCGCAGGATGGAAGCAGTTCCTAATAAGGCCGCCTTTTGCAATTGACTAATAGCGAATTTGTCAATGCCAATGGTGTTCAAGTGGTGCTCCAGTTGTTTTGGGATTGCACCCAAGGAGCCTATTACTATTGGTACTACCCTTGCTTGCTTTTGCCACAGTCTTTCTATTTCTATTTGTAGGTCTTTGTATTTTGTTATCTTCTCCAGTTCTTTCTCTTCTATTCTGCTATCTCCAGGCACTGCCACGTCCACTATCCAGACTTTTTTGTCTTTCTTATCGACAATTGTTAAGTCTGGGGTGTTATGTTGCAGGTGCTTGTCTGTTTGAATTCTGAAGTCCCAGAGCAGTTTAATTTTATCATTTTCTATGACTTTCTCTATTTTATGATCCCACCAGTTTTTGCTTACAGGCAAATGATATTTTTTGCAGATCTTCCAATGCACCATGTTGCTACTTTGTCATGCCGCTGCTTGTAATCAGTCTGTGCAATCTTCTTGCAACAGCTTACCAAGTGGTCCACTGTTTCTTCAGCTTCTTTGCATAGGCGGCACTTACTGTCTGTTGCTGTCTTCTCAATTTTGACTTTGTATGCATTTGTCCTTAAGGCTTGGTCTTGTGCAGCCAGAATTAGTCCCTCGGTCTCTTTCTTCAATTTTCCTGCTCTTAGCCATTGCCAGGTTTTATTATTATCTGCTTTCCCAGCTATTTTTTTCATGTATTGGCCATGTAGTGCTTTGTCTTCCCATGCCTCTATTCTGTTCTTCATTTGGTCTTTCTTGTAGGCCAGTTTGGTCTCTCCAGTAGTTAGTAAGCCTTCCTGATATACTAATTTCAGTGCATCTTCATCATTGTTCTTCAGATATTCTTCCAAAGCCATTTTTTCTTCTTCAACCATCTGATGTACTTGTAGCATTCCACGCCCACCTATTTGCCTTGGTAGATAAAGTCTATCAATGTCACTGCGTGGATGAAGGGCATGATTCATTGTCATTATTTTTCTGGTCTGCCTATCCATTGCTTTTAGTTCTGCTTGAGTCCAGTCCACTATTCCAGCTGTGTACCTAATGACTGGGATTGCCCAGGTGTTGATTGCCTTTATGGTATTTCCTCCATTGAGTTTGGACTTTAAGATCTTCTTCACTCTCTTGATGTATTCACCTCTAATCTTTTTCTTGACTTCAGTGTGCTTGATGTTGTCAGCTTGAATATTATTATTATTATTATTATTATTATTGATCATCGCACAGTCAGCCAGATGTTCAGACTGGATTTGGCATTTTGTCTACCTATCGAGTCCTTACCCAGGACCTGGGATAGGCAGATGTGGATGTTTGATGGTATTACAGATATCGTCGCAGGATGGAAGCAGTTCCTAGTAAGGCTGCCTTTTGCAATTGACTAATAGCGAGTTTGTCAATGCCAATGGTGTTCAAGTGGTGCTCCAGTTGTTTTGGGATTACACCCAAGGAGCCTATCACTATTGGTACTACCCTTGCTTGCTTTTGCCACAGTCTTTCTATTTCTATTTGTAGGTCTTTGTATTTTGTTATCTTCTCCAGTTCTTTCTCTTCTATTCTGCTGTCTCCAGGCACTGCCACGTCCACTATCCAGACTTTTTTGTCTTTCTTATCGACAATTGTTAAGTCTGGGGTGTTATGTTGCAGGTGCTTGTCTGTTTGAATTCTGAAGTCCCAGAGCAGTTTAATTTTATCATTTTCTATGACTTTCTCTATTTTATGATCCTACCAGTTTTTGCTTACAAGCAAATGATTATTATTATTAATTGTCTTTTTTTACTGTGGGCACAACGGCACACATCAAAAATGAAATTTAGTTATATTGTATACAAGTGTTGTATTTTGGGAACAACGCACAGACACATTAACCAATGACAACAGGAACATTTAAATTGACTTATGATTTGGGTAAAAAAGATTTTCTGGTAAATGGTTTTAGGTAATGAAG